ATTAGGAAGCTAGTTTTTCCTGAACAGAGAAGAAAATTTAAAGGAGAACTTAGTTAAATTTGATCCTTGATTTAATCACTGTATATCTTAAACACTCATTCGTTCTTGTGGTCATTATTTTCCTCATTTGTAAAGTCAAGATAATCTCTAAATTACCACTTCCTTACAATATGCATTAATCAAGCCACATTTCTATCAAAAGAAAAAACATTAGTGTTATTTCCCCCCAAACAAACCACAAACTCTGAGACTTGGATCTCTTACTGTTCCTTTCTAAAAAGGGACTGAGCCATTGCATCTTTTATGGTCACAGGAACACTGAATCTGACTTTTAAGTGACTTTGCACATCCAAATTTTACATTTATCATTGCTCATTCTTTATTGTTCAAAGAAGCTATTCTACTCACCGTTTGGAAACCTGAAGGAAGGATTACATAGTGATACATTTGCCATGGTTATATAGCAACTATGACCACACATATTCTAGTTCTCATGCTCTACTCTCAACTTTCATGTCACAGGTTTGGATGATGAATAGCTAATAATAAGTGAACTATGCCTTTATGTTCTTTTTGGTTTTATTTCCATTCAGCCTTCAGAAGATCCCTATGTTACAATGTGGAATTCCTATATTATATATCAACACTTTATTTTTCAGAGAATTTTTACTCCTTACTTCTTCTCTCAGTCGAGAAGAACTAATTCAGCTGGTATCTTTGAAAGGGAAAAGTTCCAGAAGCCAAGAAGACCCCTCTCCCCTTCCTTTTTTCCTTTCTCTAGATGCTGGCTTGTCTGTTGACAGTCAGTTCCATATGCTCTCACCTGTATCTGAAAGGCTGGAAGCCTGGGAACTACATTTCAGAATATAAAGCCAGTACCTATCTCAGCTTAACTGTCTGTCAGTGCCAGACAATTGTGGGAGATGAAGAGGGCAGAAGGAAGCAGGAGCCATACTCTTTCTCTAGCAGCAGATTTGAGATTTTGCAGTGGCCTCTGGTGTCCTTCCACAGATCATCAGCCTTAGGAGACAGTTTCTAGAAGTCCCTGACCTAAGTGGCCATAATTCCCTAAAAATTAGCTGCAAACCTAAGAGCTAACTATTGGCTTCCCTTTGCTCCCTCTAGCCTTTCCCACTGTTTTATAAGCATCGAATTGCCTGTTTTAAATACCTTCATGATTCGCATACCCAGAATAGTTTCTGTTTTTCTGACTGAAGACTGAGTGATATGCTCCATCTCCTAGATTTGCATAAACCTGTTGCCAGGCATTCACCTAAGCAAAAGAGAAAACAAAGAAGTCTAGTTTAGATTATCAGATCCCCCACCCATAAAATGTAAAATGTTTTAAACCCCCAAAGTAGCCTGTTTATATGATTTATTTTTCTTGCTTGGGTCTTAGAGAGTTCTATATCAAGAATTATACTACAGAGGCCAGATCTAAAAAATACACCACCAATATCAACAGTGTTCCAATGGAATAACTTGAAGGTGGCTATGGTGATACGTTCATGTCCCTCCTTAATATTTTCAGCTCCCTTTTGCTTTAGTTTCCTTATTTGTGTATATGTTTATGATTTTATTCATTCTCATAAGTGCAGGGGCTTTTTTGGGGCTGGGGGTGGCTTTCCCAGCACCTAGGAAATGTTCAGAAGATGCAGGTTACATTTAAGTAAAATAAAGGTATTGTTTTCTACTTGCCTTGGTGGAGTAAATAGCAGCTTACACGTTTCAAATTTAAGTTGACTCTTAGCAAATATAAGCAGATCATCAAGCCTCTTAGGTTCTCCATATGGGTTATCAGTTCCATTTGATACTAGAAATCCTTTCTCCCCTGTACTGATGATGGATTTATGATGACACACTTCACACCTGCCTAAAACTCATAGATTTTAGATTGTCTCTCTAGCTGATGCTTATGCACATTAAAGCTTAAGAACCATGCAAAAATGAAAACAGAGTTTCTTTGCCTTGAAATCTCTATGTAAGGAATAAGCTGCAAAGAATCCAAAGAATTGGGGCTCTTTCTAGGATTCCCATCTAAAAGATGGTACATAGGATCAGGATTTTGGAGCTGGAAAGGTCCTTACAGATCATTTAATTTAAACCTCTCATTCAAGAGATCAGCAATCATTATCTAGAGTTACATAGACAGCTTAGGGCAGAACAGGTATCAGAACCCAGGGATTTTGAATTTCAATCCAGTGGTTTTTTTTTAACATGGTCTCATATACACTTGGGTGAGTGGTGAACTGCCCAACACTGCATGTGACAGTCACTTGTGGACAGGCATATATACTAGCACAGTTTTCTAGCAGGTAAAGTTTTTCCAATGGATGCAAAATATCTTAAGGAAGAGATACCGTTTTCTAATACACACAAAGATGTAACATGGGATTGTGGCAGGAAGCCTCCCTCTCACTTTTTTCTTTAATATAACTTATTATTAAATGTACAATGCATAGGCTTTCAATAACAAATACAGTACAGGTGCATTTTATGAATATTTAAATTGTTCAAAGTTGAAGTTGCTGATATAGAAAAATATTATAAAGTTTTGCTGCATAAAATTGCAACACTCTAAAAAGTTGCCAAGAACTGCAAATTCCAAGTCTGTCTGGCCCGGTGAATTGCAAACCATGTTCATGGATTATCATACAGAGGTGCTAGATCACATAGTATGACATGATCCACACTTTTATTGATGTACACTAGAATGTCCACATGTAATTTCAATGACTATTGTGCTATTATTTACACTATAAACCTTTAACTCAGAAGTTATAGGTAATATAACACTCTGAACCCCTAAAAACTGCTACTAATAGCTTACTATCTGGGCTGAGCACGGTGGCTCATGCCTGTAATCCTAGCTCTCTGGGAGGCCCAGGCAGGCAGATCGTTTGAGCTCAGGAGTTAGAAACCAACCTGAGCAAGAGAGAGACCCCATCTCTACTATAAATAGAAATAAATTCGTTGGCCAACTAATATATATAGAAAAAATTAGCAGGGCATGGTAGCACATGCCTGTAGTTCCAGCTACTTGGGAGGCTGAGACAGGAGGATTGCTTGAGCCCAGGAGTTTGAGGTTGCTGTGAGCTAGGCTGACGCCATGGCACTCACTCTATCCTGGGCAACAAAGTGAGATTCTGTCTCAAAAAAAAAAAAAAAAAATAGCTAACCATCTGTTAATTTAGGAGAAAACACCCTCTTGCATTGAAGAGAATGGTATAAAGATAAAATATAGCATTAGAGAAAAAAGAAACCATACACACAGCAACAGCATCTCCTATCTAATATTTATTTCTCTGTGAAAACTAGTCTTAAATTATGAGAATTTTAAATTATGTGATGTGTTTAGGAGAGCATCCTTCACACGAAATACAACTTCCCTTACTTTAAAATTTTTTCATGTCTCTACATGATTCTAATCCCAACTTCTATGCCTGAAAGACGATGTGTAAAACTAGAAGGTGCCATGGGGGTTCCAATTTAGCATCACATTTAGTGGTCCACAAAGGGGATGTAATTCTTTCTCTGTTAAGCTTCCTATAAGTCAGATCTGTTTTTGCACATTTTTAGTGCAAAAATGTGCACTCTCTTTAGCTTCCTATAAGTCAGATCTGTTTTTGCACATTTGTGCATCTGTTTTTGCACACCTACATGCATCACGATGTAGGTTATTTTTCCTCTGGGCTTGACCAGGGCTTGAGTCTCTGTCACCTTCATGGCTACCTTCACAGGGTTTATCTTCATTATGCCTATTCAACTAATGAAAAAAGAGAGGCAGGTAATCTTAATGCCCCCTCCCAGAATGATTAGAGGATTAATGAGCTAATAAGCACAAAACACTTTCAACCTCACGTTTCAACAAACATGGAGCATGGCACACCCTGTGGTCTATGTGGGCGTGTGACACCTGCAGATGAAGAGAGCTGCACCCCGCGCCACCTGATGCTCTGGCTGCTGACTCCGCTGGTCCTTGGTCCTGGACCATCCAACCATGGGCTGAGCACGTGCTCCACCTATCAGTGAAGCCAGGTCACCAAAATTTCTAAAGTTTGATATTTTAGTATTTATAAAAAGCATCTAAATGCTGATTATAAGGGAAAATTAGAACTTTGCCAGAGGCTTGCATTTCTTTTATGGTTTAGTATTGTTTTTATTTGGAATTACAGAAACAGGGGAAGGGTGCCCTGACGATTGATTTCCATGCTTAGGGCTTCTAAAGGTTCACGAATGGCTCCAACTCTACTACCCACTTGAAAAAAAAATTCACCAAAAAATTTCAACAACTTGTTTCCCAGAAGTTCTTTTTTTCCAAGCAGGCTGTCTTCATGAAGGACTAAAGTCTCTTACCAATACAGATTTATCAGAACAACTTGGACAGTGCTGTAAACCTAGGAAGAAAATGAAATCCAATTTAGCAGGGGAGTAGCCCATGCTTTGTTTCAAAGTTTGATAAGGTCTTTGATTCAAGGTCTCAGTATTAGCTTGGGATCCTAGAATCTAAGGAGGAAAATTCTTTCTTTCTTTTTTTTTTTTTTTCCAATTAAGGGCTAGGTTTGTTCACTGAGTTCTGTGACCCCTGGCACTTGTCATTTCTAAATATACATGACTTCTCTACTCTTGCACCCTCACTGAGATGCGTGTGTGCATTAAAAACAAAAGCTATATATTTCTACTCTGAGTTTCCACACTTTGGACCCCCTCCAGACACCATTCTGAATATGGCATTCTGCTACAGGGCACTAAAAATGTTTCTTTCCTCAAAATAAAACCTTTAAAGTTCCCTTAGTAGCTATTCAGGGACTGGAATTCAATTTCAATTCTCTACCCTTTGGCCAGCTGTAGATTCAAAATGCTTACATAAAACATTGAGAGTGTGTACTTCATGGCAAATTTGATTTTTCTTCTGCAATAGAAATGTGTGCTATAGTTACCACAAACTATATTTTTACTTAGAAAATACACAAAGCAATAATACACCTCAACAAGAGAGAACAGATCTTTTTAAATTTTATTTTATCGGTAGCTTTGATATAAGCTTCAGATAGACCCACTTAGTACACAGAGTTTGTGAAATCTACACTTTCAAATCATAATACTCTCTATTTTAGGCTATTATATCTAAAAGCATGACTTCTCAAATCCTTTTATTACAAGTAGTTCTTGCACATAAATGTTACATCAAAACAGCAAAAAAAAAATGTAAACTTCTTTTGCAAACTACATAAATACTATAATATCTGCCTTAAAGTTATTCTTATTTTAAATCAGAATATACTCTTAACGCTTTACATAGAAAACTTTGGTCAGTAGCCTATGTGTATAAAACATTAGTTTTCTTTCTTACTGACTTGCCTTCCATGTTGCCAACTTAGGTCTTTGAAGGAGAAAAATTCAAAATAGAACCCAGATCAAAATTCAGTTCACAAGTAGAACAAGTACTAGAAGCATATTGATAACCTTGGGCAAAATGAGATGTGAAATTATTCCACACACTAAATCCGACAAGCCACCAGTGGTATGGAGGTAACTGAAAATAAAGAGTCAAGCTCATATTCGATTCTAACGGAAGGCATCAGCCTGCTTGTCAATAAACCTCCTACTCTGCTGTATAAAAATGTCTATTTTCAAGTGAACACCTCTTTCTCTATTCTTTTAGAGCACAACAGATCATTTCTACAGCTATAGTCCTAGACTGGAAAGTCTAGATAGCCAGTGACTATCTCACCATTGCTGTCCCTAGAGTCTTTGAATACAAAGTTCAACTGTATAAATATATACATGCATATACACACGTACACGCTAATAGGACCACATATCACGGCCTTTTTCACTTCAAACAAGGTTTTGAATGTTTACCTTTTTTGTTGTTATTTTTTTAAGTCTTTTCCTCAGAATGTTCTTTTGGTTACAAAGTAAGTTTAACCTGGAGCCCTTACCGACCGATTCTTAGATTCCTATTTGAACACCTAGCTACTGGCCATAGTTTCCTGGAGGAAAAACATACCACTGCTGAAGCACTTCTAAAAACTTTAAATGCATGCAGCTAGAACTACATAGGCTTTCCAAGCAGCTACATAAGGTGGCTCAAGTAACATTATTACTTATTTTTTTTTTGGCCTAAGCCCTTTTAACAACATCTTTTTGCAACGCGGAGAATGGCTCTGAGATGGGGGCCAGCCCCAAAGGCGCCCGGGCTGGCGGGCTCTGCGCAGTCCCCAGCACAGCAAGCGGGAACCCGCCGCGCAGTCTCCTCCCTTTCCGTGCATTCCCTCTAAATGCACCGTGTCCTCTCTTTACTGCCCGTGCTTTTAAACTATGAAAAATTTAACTCCCCCCCCCAAAAAAATAAATCTAGCAGTGACTAAGTCAGACCTCAAATAACACTGTGCATGGGCTTTGCTACAGACAGGTAGCCATCCCTTCCTAACAGCTCTTTCCCCAGAGGCGGCCTGGCTGCGCGGAGGGGCGGCGGCTCAGGAACTGCTTTTATTGCAGACCGTGCCTTGGCTAATACTATCTTCCGTGTACTGGCTGCCCGTGTCGCTCCTGCTGAGCACCGTGGAGGGGATGCGCGACGGGCGCCTCTCCGGGTTCTTCTCCTGAGAGCAGCAGCAGATCATCTTCTTCATGGTGCTGTACATGTCCTCGTCCTTGTACGAGTAGATGATGGGGTTCATGACGGAGTTGAGCAGCGCCAGCAGCAGGAACCAGCGCTTCACGTGCTGCACGCCGCAGTGCGTGCAGTTCAGGCCGTCGAGGAGCAGAACCACCAGCCCCGGCGTCCAGCACACCACGAACGCCCCTGGGGGACAGAAGGGAAAGAAAGTGAGCTGGACCTCAGGCTGCTTACTCAGCTTCTTCCCGCCCAGCCTTCAGGCAGCGCTGTCCCGGGACCATACGCATTTGTTTTGACAACTGCAAAGCAAACTTACATCCTTCCTCCGGGCGTCTGAGACCTGGGCTTGTTAGAGACAAACAGCTGCGAACCTTCTGGACTATCAACCCACGGTCTACTTCACTTTCTTATCTGCTTACCCAGGTCTTCTGGTCAAGAGGAGCTCCTATTTATAGCCTGCATAGGAAGCAGTGCGCATGCGTGATCTGTCAGTTCTCTGAACCCATACTAGGGGGCTGCTGTAATAATGATCCACATTTGACAGATGAGAAAACTGAGGCCCAATTCCAGGTGGGCATGTGGGGAGGCGTCTCTGACTCCAGGCCTTACATTTAACCCTACATTGTGCTGTTCTCTGAATCAGATTTTCTATTTACACATGCTTTCTTGAAAGTAAGACACACTACACTGTGTGTATGGCATTCTGACCTAGTAGGTTTAACTAAGTCACCCGCTCAAAAATTTTATTCTTCATAAATCCATGTTGATGCTTAGTAAGCACTATATTCTTTTTGACATATTCACAGGCCATCTGCTTAATCATCTGCTCTAGATTTAGATTTTTTTGGTCAGAAATAAATCTTTCATGATGAGTTAGTTGGAAATGTGCTTTTTAGACTCTGCAATTGAACATGAACAGTAGTTGCTTTGGAATCTTTGGAATCTCTTCTATTGGATCATACTTATCTCATCTCTAGACTTTAGGATATTTATCTTCTAAAATATGAGACATAGGTTCAATATCCTCCTACTTAGTTATCATAACTGCAGATAACAGTAATGTCTGACCTTTATACAGTGCTCGCTCTGAGCCAGGAAATGATGTGATGCTTTCCTTGATTAACTTACAGGACCACACTATACAATTAACATTATTATTATTACCAGGAAACTGAGGCACAAGAGAAGTTAAGTAATGTGCCTGCGATTAAATAGCTTTTAAGAGACACCAAATTTTGAACACAAGCAGTCTTTCCCATAGGCTGTGCTCTTGGCCACTATGTGACCCACCTCTGTAGCGTGATATGGTTGCTTTCTCCCAGCGTCCTTATATCTTAATGCACTCGCTTATCCATTCAATAAATACTCATTTCAAGCTCACATTCTGCCGAGAGCTATACGAGACAGCAAACAAGGTGAGGACCATGAACTCAGGGAGCTAAAATACTAGCAGAGGAAACAGAATAAACAAGCAAACCTATAAACCATGTCACCAACTAGTTAACCTTACTGGTTAGAATTAGTCCTGGACAGTATTTCTCTTGTTGCTTCATCTTCCTTCTGAGAGATACAATACTAAGCAAGGCAAGTCAAGGATTACAGAGATATGGTATAAAGTAGGGAAGAGCCATGAGCTCTGGGGCCAAACAGGCATGTGTAGCTCCTCACCTTGTGACCTACCCAAATCAGGAGAAGTACGTCACTTCTGAGCCTCTGAACCCTGCTTCATAACATCAAAATAATAAACCCAACTGTGTAGGGTGCCTGTGAGAATCAGAGGTGACAGAAAGTGGTGCCCAATGCTGTGCTGGGGTCACTAAGCATAGTTATCATGAGAAGCATGATTTGTTTCCCCCAAAATTAGATGTCTAGGAAATAGCAGGAAGGTTTAATTCTCCATTCCATAACTACAGCTCACTAATGGCTCCCTTTTTTCTCCATCTTGTATTATTTTTGGTCCGGCTGACATATGTGAATAAAGAACTGGACTTGGATTTGAGACATCAGAGATTTGAGTCCTAACTCTTCACTTCCTGAACAACTCTGGGAGACCCAGGTCATAACTCTGGGCTTTGGCTTCCTCAGCTGTAAATGGAAGACTTTAGGGTAGGTCTGGGCTTTTCAAACTGTGGGTCAGAACCTCTTAGTTGATGTGCAATCAATTTAATGGGCTAAGACCAGTTTTTTGTTTTAAATGAAAGAACAGCATGCAATAGCTCAGAGCATATTATATAGATTAAGTGAAGTATTGTTTCATGAATGTTTTGTTTCAGTTTTATAAACTGTGTTTATGTGTGCATTGGTTATGAAGTAAAGTATATTTCTTACTGTTGGGTTTGGTCAAAAAGTTTGGAAATCACTAGTTTAGATAATCCTTAAGGCCCTATCCAGCTCCAGTATTTCCCATACCTGTAACATGTTTGTCCTCTTTTCTTCCCAAGAGAGAGTTACTTTGTTGTCAAGAAAGAAAAATGAAACAAGCCAGACAGCAAAAGCTGTATGTATGAAACTTTCAGCATGAAATTCCGTAATTCCAAAGAAATCTCAGTGGGAGTGTTCCAACAAGGTCCTCGTAGCAATGGGAAGGAGGGAAAAACACTGACTAGACTTTGTTAAATACACAGTTGAAATTTAATAGAGTCTGTAACTTCTAAACCAATGAAAAAAATGGAACTAAAGGAACGGAAAACAAGATCTCAGTACAAAAGAAAGCAGAGTAAAAACAGTGAAACATAGAAAAAAATGGGACAGATAAAAAACAAAATAAGATGCTGGAAATGAATCCAAACATATTGATAACCAAAGTCAATGTAAAATTGTGGTATAGTTTTAAGAAATAGGTGATCTAAACATATAACGTGTAACATTACATCCACATATGGTAAAACCATGAGAAAAAGCAAAAAGATGATTAACACAAAATTGATGACATAGTTATCTCAATAGTAGAGAGTCCACCTGGGTGGCACTGGGAGGCTCCAAATATATTGGTAATGTTCTATGAAATTGGGTGGCAAATACACAGATATTCTTATTTTTTATTCTTTTATGTGTTAGTCTTTAAGGTCTCCATATATTTTATATAGTTTTGTTTGAATGATATAGAATACACAACCCCCACAAAAACATCAAAAAAAATAAATTACCAATTTTTTCCTAAAACTCTACTCTCATTTTTTCAGATGCGATTTTTTTTTTTTTTTGTAATCATGATTTTTTTTTTTCCCCCAGCATGAAACTCTGGCTTGAATTAATCAGGTGACCTAAACAAATCTTCAAATTGGTGCCCTGTTTTTCATAATATGGTAATTCATATATATTTTCCCTTTGCATTGAATTATATAAAATAATCATTCAATTAAAACCTGACAAACTTTTTATTGAGCAATGATTATGTGTCAAGTTCAGTTCTAAGTATTTTATACCATTAATCCACTTAATCTACATTACAACCCTTGGAAATAGGTCCTAATACTACCCTCGTTTTAAACTTGAGACCACCAAAACACAGAAAAGTTAGGTGACACGTTCAAAGGCACACAACTGGTAAGTGGCAGGGTCAGGATTTGAACCCAGGCAGCCTGGCACCAAAGCCTGTGCTCCTGTCCTTATGCTAGGCTGCTTAGCCATGGGCCACAAGCATCTTACTACTAAAGTGAGTAGAGGGCGAGGGAGAGGGTGCTTCTGGACTTTAAAGTCCCCTCTTATAGTATGTCATATCTGACCATGAAGCTGCATTTATCACTAGTTATTCTTTGGTTTGCAAATAGAAGAATTTTCTGGCAAGACAAGGGAAAAGGGGAGGCGGGGAGGGAAGGAAAGAGAAGAAAGGAGATGAAAAGAAGAAGAAGAAGAGGGAAAGAAGTAAGGGAGAGAGGAAAAGGAAAGAAAGAGAGAGAAGAGGGGAGGAAGGAGGGATGGATGGAAGGGAGAAATCCAACAAAAATATTGGCTGGCCATGGGGTAGGAAGAGAAATAAAAAATCTTCTGCCCTTATCTTTATACTGTTTCCGATGAACAACAAAAAAGCAAGTGTTCTTTGACAGAACACACCAGGCTGCTAACCTGGACAGCGGATGCTTGCAGAGACGTTGCCTTGCGCAGATGAGCACACTCCCTGGCAGGGACCCTGGTGGCCCCGCCATTCCTAGACTCCCCTGCCTGGAGGCCAAGCCCCGGCTCCACACACACCTCCCAATGGATGCACAGCTTATCTAACAGCTCATTCTTTGGTTGTTTGTACTGCATGTTAGCAGCTAGCTATAAGCACCCCTCCCCTCCAAAACAAGCAAACACCTTAAAAGGTGAAGAAAATGTCAGCAATGGTTTTGGCCCTGGGAATCTGTAATCTTGGAGACTTCTTAGAGAATGTGGAGATGTCGGAAACATATAAATGGGCAACTGTACTAATTCTTAAAAGTGAGGGAGAGAGTGTGTGTGTGACAGATCCTGGGAAATATATACTAGTCAATCCTCTGCCAATCTTCAATAATTCTAGAAGAGAAAATTAGAAGGAGTGTCTTTTGAGTATTTTAGCTTCAGTGCTCAGACTATGACTGCTGGGAACCAGCAAGGTTTGAAAATGAGTTCATGCCAAGTCCAGATCACTTTTTTTTTTTTTTTTAAATCAGGCATTAACAAATAGGAGTGGGTCCAGAGGTGTCCATCTGGGAACCAGTGGAAGGAATCAGATATGTTTCTCCCAGAGAAAAGGCTAAGGAAAGACATGATGTGTTGTTAATTTTCTCCAAAAATATGAAGGGCCATTATGTAGAGAGGAAGCACAGATTCATTCCAGGCCATTCCAGGGGGCCACTCAAAACAAATGGAAAAGTACAAAGAGGCAGAATTTGGATGTAAGATTTCTTTTTAAGTAAATAAAGGTATTTAACAGAGGAATCCTTTGTTCAGCAGGCAGAGAGACTCCCTTGACCAGGGTAATTCCTTTGCCCAGATCACCCTGAGATATACAAAGGGAAGGGATATTTCTGAAATGAAAGATAGGGCTAAGTGGCTTCTGAACTCTTTTCCAAATAGAAATTGCTAAATTTTGTGAAACTGTGTTTCAATTCCCCATAAAATCTGAACAAATTTGACTTGTTTCTCAGACATAATTATAAAATGGTATGGTTAAAAATCTTGTTAAGATGAATTCTCTAAGTGGTGGTTCCCAATTACCACCATCC